ATTCAAATGATTTTGGAAGCATTTATCCTTACAATGGACCACAGCCCTCTCCTCCATAGAAGGGGGTGGGGATAGGTGGGGTGTGAGGGTATTATGAATGAATTTATGGGTTCTTAACCAAGTCTTGATCTAGGTTTATATATAGGACCATTCCTCTCTCTCTCTCTATATATATATATATATATATATATATATGTGTGTGTGTGTGTATTTATGTATCTCCCTCTCTCTACTTTCTCACACTCATACACACAGTGAGGTCTCTGATCCGACTGCAAGAGATGTATAAATGTAGCAAAGGCAACAGTTGAACAGATCAGCCCTACTCTATCATTGGTGCATCAATATCTCTGTTAAGTTCTATGCACCAGAATATTAATTACATTTCATTCTTGTAAATTGTGTTACAGAAGAAAATTTTTTTGTTGAGAAATTAAGTGGAAGAAGGTGAAATGGAATTCCAGAAACTCTTCTTTTTCTGCTTAATTCTCTCTTCTTTCACCAAAATTATTGCACTCCCGCAAGAACAAGAGTTGGACCGTATTTCGACTCTTCCCGGGCAGCCTCCGGTCACATTTTCGCAGTTTTCCGGCTATGTCACCGTCAATGAAAAGCACGGCCGAGCACTGTTTTATTGGCTTACTGAGGCTACCAGTAAACCGGAGAACAAGCCACTTCTTCTTTGGCTTAATGGAGGTTAGTTTTCTCCTCACTTTATACATTAATTCGTTCCGCAATCATAAGCAAATTAGGGTAATTTTCATTTTTCAATAAACCCAGACCATGCATGTTTCTTCCCCACTAAACCAAACCCTACACTATCCAGTTGCATTCCACGTGTCACATCCTCCCATCTACTACAGGAGCACATTAGCATAGTTTGACTAAATTGTGCTAATATGCACCAGTGTCACCTTCAGTACACAGAAGAAGCTAAACACTTGCTGTTCGTATTTTGTACCAGAAATATAAAAACAAAAAAACCATTTGGGTTCTCGTGATCACTTTTTGTCTGTGCAGTATATTCTTTTTCCTTCTACTTCTGAACTTGAAATTCTATAGCTTGCAAGTGCACAAAAAATGTTCAGAAAAGTGTGTCTGTTCGTTAGGAAATGGAATAAGTTTCTGTATTTAATCACAAGTGAAGTCAAGTAACTTTCCGTGACTTTGAGAGTTATCCTCTGTATCTACTATCCAGTATTGTTTAGGGTCCGTTTGGCAGGCTTTTGCTTTCGTTTTAAGAAGTTGAAGAAAAAACCCATTTGGGTTCTCGTGATCACTCTTTGTTTCTTCCTCGGTATATCTTTTTCAAAATACTAGACGCAACTAATTAAGAAAAGCAGTTTCTTAATTTTAGAAACGACTTTTGACTTTTCAAAAATCAATGTCCAGTATTTTATACCAAATCCTGGATTTTTAGAAACTCGATCAACACTTAAGATGCATATTAATCCTGCAATAATGCTGTTCATCCAGGCCCAAAACTAGGAAAAAATGAGATAGGGTGAAGTGTAGGGAAATGATTGGGCGTCATGTTTATTTTTTTTTCAAACTGTCCAATTCGACGTCGACATGTGTCTCCCCTAAAATTAAGCCTGGATTTGACTATGTTCTTGTAGCATTGTTCTTAATCCCGGTACACTCACTTTTTTTTTTGGTCCAACTTAAGAGGTGAACATTCATCTTCCAACCATCATGCCACATCATTCATCTGTAAACCAAGT